TTCCGGTAATTTCGATGTCAAAGATGCACCACGCGTCGGGAGGCTTGTCGTCGAAAATTGCGATAAAATCATGGAAATAGTGGAAACAGACCGTCACATGAGCACTTATTTAATTGCTAAGGAACTTAAGATAAGCCAGAAAACCGTTTGGAACCATTTGCATAACCTTTGATTCAAAAAGAAGCTCGACGGTTGGGTGCCGCTGCTGAATCGTAACAAAATCGACCCGTTTCTGAAGCGGATTGTGACTGGCGATGAAAAATCTTTCTTCAACAGAGGCCGAATTGTGTTCCATCAGGACAACACCAGGCCAGCGCACGTCTTTGGTGACGCGCCAGAAGCTCCGGGAGCTTGGATGGGAGGTCCTAATGCACCCGCCTTATAGTCCGGACCTGGCACCAAGTGATTATTATCTTTTCCTGTACATGGCGAACGCGCTTAATGGTGAGAAGTTGGCTTCAAGAGTGGCCTGTGAAAATTGGCTCTCCGAGTTTTTTGCCAATAGGGGCGCAGCCTTCTACGAGTGGGGTATAATGAAGTTGGCATCTCTTTGTACACAAGTTATCTTCGATATCAATCTTTTGAAAAATCAATAAAAAACCGAACGATCTTTTTACTTGACTGCATATTATATTTTAATTAAAAGTACCAAGTACTGCATTCATTATTTACAATCACAGGCATGAAGTTGCATTGTTATTAGAAAAAAATTGCTTTTTATTTTCATTTAGATTTCTTACATATTGACCGATAAAAGTCTTCCAAAAGTTTGAAAATTTATATATTAGGTATATGGACATTAAGGGAGGTATTGACCCGATTTTAGCCATTTTTGCCACAAGAACATGCTGTAATTTCCAAAATTTTCTTCCCGAATTTTAATACTGTAACTCAGAGATTAACCGCCCGATTAGGACAGTTTTTGGGCATATTAAACACCTTAAGGGTACTTTGTGCAAAGAAAGAATCCGTTGGAATCTAAAGTTGTATTATATGGAAAGAAGCCGTGGTTGTTATCCGCTTTCGCCCATTTTCACAGAGTATGGGCCTAACACACCAAATTTAGCTGAAATTGGTTAAGTAGTTCCTGCGATATAAAATTTCACCTGACGGTGCCACGCCCATCGTTTAATTTTTACACCTACTCCTATTAAGCTCTTCCCCACCATCTTAGTTGTGAAATTTAATATTTGTGGAGCATTTATTCAGTGAGTTATTGCAGTGGTAGTTTTCAACACAACCCATATATGGTGAGTGGGCGTGGTTATTATGTGATATATTTCAAATAAGGATAGTTAAAATGTTCATTTCCTAAAAACGCCATTCAAGTTCTAAGCACATATGTGCCATCCAACTCTGTTTACGACGACAACATCGATAAACTTAAAAAAGCAGTGCTTGAAAATCATCGTGTTGGCATCAGAGAGATAGCAGAGGATCTCAACATCTCTTATCGATAGAAAATTTGCCAACAATTGTCAAATGGGTTGGTCTCAATAATTACTTTGTTAGATGCTACGAAGTTCAACAAATAAAAAAAAAGGATTTTTTCAAATAATGAACGTTATGCAATAACAAAGCAATGCATCAACGGAAACTATGCGTCAACGGTCTCAAACACTGCAAGAAGGTTATGAGTTATGACTTATAAGAAAGAAATCATAGATATTCGTATATGGTTTTTGACCTCCCCAAATCAAAACAGTGAAAATGCGAGATGTAACTGTAAATATCAGCTGCTGCGGGGGACAATTAACACACTTAAGGCCACTTTTTGTGGGAGTTTTTTTGACAATTTCGCAAAATCGCAGAAATTGCTGCTTCTACTGTCTACGATTGCATTTTTGTGCGCATTCTTGTACATAAAATGTGTATATTTTTCGCAATTACTCCTTTACATTTTCGAGTGAATTGGAAACTAACATATACCGAACGAAATTAACACCTTCAATCAATGACATCAACATTTGCACAATGCACTAGAAACATTTGTTCAACAATTGCAAGACGCACTGCAATCTATACTCACACACATACATACAACAAACACAGTCCTCGCTTTCTTTGCCAAATTTCTTTTCTCAGTTGTTTTCTTCTTTGCATTGCGCCCGCTTCATGGCGTAAAACAATTAATTTTCCAACACGCTAACAAAGGTCCACTTGCAACTTTTGTAGAATTCCAAGACTTTCCGTTACGGATGATAGATGTCAACCGCGCGGCATCTGTTGAGATTGGCATTGTGGTTGTGGTTATGTTGGTTTTGAGACCTTCATTAATTTTTCACACTCAAATGTGTATACTGCTCCTTAACATATTTGCTAAATTGCAAAAATACTTATAGGATGCACAGAGGCAAAGGACATAAGAATTTAAAGCTATAAAAGACGGCAAATATGAAATGTGGACATGAGAATATTTTGATGCGACCCGTAAAATTTATAGAGTGTAAATTGAAAGGATTGACCGCTCAATAAATGGAAAATAACCGCAGGCCTCTCTTATGGCTATATTGCGATACTCCAAAGTTTTTACGATGCAGAAGGAATAAAAAACGCCGAAAGGGAATACTGCGAGCGTAGCAGGTATTTACATTTGAATGGGTTTATTATTTGCAAGTGGCCTATAAAATAAAAAGAAGTAGTTATTAACTCTTCAACTCATTTACTTTATGACATTTATAAAAATTTACGACTTTTCACAATATTACATATTTTCGTTTCTTTCTTCGGTCACCTCAGAGTGTATGGCAGCACCCAGGATGCAAAAAATTAACCAATGGTGAAGCACTCAACTTTTCCGACAATATGCGCGGGAGTGATATAAATAATTGAAAGTAAATAAAGAACATTTCCAGGATTTATGGGAAATTACTTTCATTCATTTTTTTTTCATTTTTTCAATTATAAGTAAGTATTATAATACATGTATAAGGCAACTGGTGTATAGTTAAACGTCTATTAGCCAAGGCTACTATAACAGGATTGTTGCAAAATATTTGAAATGGGTTATAGAACATTAACACATTCAAATCGTAAGCCCAAGAATTGTACAAATACCCAAAATAACTTAAAGAATAACGATGAAATTCGATTACCTACTTCATGAAAATTAAATTTTTGGAAAAAATTTATTTATGTGTTGAAGTATATTCTTACTATTCGGAAATTAAAAGTCTCAAATATTTTCATTTAAATCTAAAAATACGAATTGCAAGAGTAATTCCCTTGTCCTTAACAACTTAGAATACAAATACCCTGCAGTGAAGCATCAAACTTATCAGTTCGATAAAATTTTAGGCTGTACTCATTGCATACTTTGTAGCAGCCCCTAAGGTTAAACGTGTTTTTATGAGCTTGGCGATTTTCGTTTATTGAAAGAAACGGATCAAGGAATTTGTTCGTGTATTCTTGGACAAAAACAATACTGTAACGATGCCCCATCCTCCATATTCATGGCTTCGTGTGACTATTTCCTATATCCAAATATAAAGAGAACCTTAAAGGGCTGTCGTTTTACAAGCATTAAAAGCGCATCGCTGAAGGAACTAAGGGTTTTACCATAAATCGATTTTGAGAAGTGTTTCGATTGGAAGAAGCTCTGGCATAATGGGGTATATTTTGAAGACAACAACATTAATGTAGACAAATGAATAAATATTTTTTTCAAAATGTATTTTTAATAGCTTTGGATATAGTTCCATTTCAAATATTTCAGTTTTTTCGAAATTTATCGAAAATCTTGAAACTAATCTCCTAATCTCAAAAATATTCTACAATTTTATTAGAATTATTAATTTGAGCAATGTGTGTTCTGCTCGAGAAACCATTGCATTTAAAACTTCACTCAACCAATAATTTATAAATTTCTATTTCGGCATTTCAAATTGATTCATTATGTATTAAGTATGGATTTAAATTGTGACGACTTATATAGTCACAACTGTAATTCTAAAAAAGTGGAATTTTCAACAAATGTTCATGACGTTTGTCAAATACATTATAGAAAATGTGGAAAAATTTATTTTCTTCTCCACTACATTTGGAATCAAAGTATTCAATTTGTATGGCCTATATATTATTAAAAGGGGTAATACTTGGAAGTTTTAATAAAACAATCAATCAAAACAGTTTCAGTTGTGAAAGCTGCAGCAAAAATTAAATTGACATATAGTGTTCAATTTCCGATAATGGATGAAGTGTGAAACTTTAATATTATGTGAGCCTTGAATTTTTCTTAGCAATAGACTCTTATGTTTTAATTTCTGCATAAAAATCTTAAAAGCGAATTTAATGGAACTTTTACAATAACAACATGTGCTCAATGCAGCTCTTTTTTAAGAAATTGCATTGGTGAATAGTGCGTAGAATTTTATTTTCAATATATCTGAAACAATAGAACATAGAAAAAAATTATATGATTAAAGTAAAATTTCTTTCTCTCAAAAAAAAAAAAAATTAGGAACACTCTTTATGCTTGTATTCAAAAAGTTAATTAAATCATTCAATTAACAGAAATTTCTTAGAAATGCTAAGATTCACTGCCATGTTTGTAATTTGCAGTATGGTTTAATGCAGGGATGTGATTTTAAATGTTATCTTAACTTTTACTGTACTTATTTTATTTAATTTATATAATCTAATTTTTAATTTTATTATAGCCTAAAATTATTTTATTGTTTTTTCATAAATATTCTCTATTTTAACAAAAAAAAAATACAAAAGTTAATGACAAAGCAATAAAGTCAATTAAATGCCTATTAGCTTTATTATTAAAAAATTCAACTTTACTTTAACAAACTCGCCCCAAAATATTTTAAAATGGTTAATAGAAAATTTGATTCAGCTAATTCACACACAAATATATATTTTGATTTATGGTATTTGGTTTATTTATTCTAAGCAATATATAATAGTATACTTGACTGATAAATAATATTAAATATTACTACGAATCATATAAATTTGTTTAATTTATTATTTTTAGTTTTAACTTGCCTTACCACTAGAAAATTGCCGTAATCCACAAGTAAACGTTTTCCTAAATTTTCAATCCGTTAAATATTTGAGAAGACATTCTTTAGCCACTCAAAAGCGAGAATTTTTTAATTTACAGTTTCGTTACTCAATTGCTCACTTGTTTTTAGTTTAGAGAACTCAATATTAATTCATTAACGAGCTTGATTAATTTTTATATTTTAATGTAATATTTTTAGCTATCTTGAGTAGCTCTAAGGAATCTTACACACACATATACTTATGTTATTCTACCAATTTCCACGCACAGTCTTCTTAATTTTCGCAAATTTAATTAATCTGTTATTGGATTTATATGACTAATCACTGTACCGTACAGGGTATTTTGAATTGAATTTTGTGCATTAGCCACAGTTAAAGAACTGCTACTGCATGCGACTAAGCACCGCTAGAAACTCGTTTGAACTGAATCAAAACAATCACATACCGTTGATTTTATTGTTCAAAACATAAGTGTGGCAAACCTCAAAAATATCCGTTGCTGTGCGTCGAGGCAAAGTGCAAAGTGTTGAGTGCCGAGCACGAAGCAGCGAACAACGAACGACGAGCGCTTCCACAAAAAATTTAGTGGTAACAGTTTCTTATCACAAACGCTGGGCACAAGTCACAGCTGATCCAGAGTGGTTCCTATTTTAAACTGCGCGGAGAAAAACTGGAACACAAGTACGTATAATTTTCCTGGGGAAATTGAAGAAGAGTTGTTGCGCAGTTTCCTCACCACGTTCGCTCTTTTTATCCGCACTCTCCTTCGGCAACTGTTCCCAGTTTTGCCTTTTTGTTTACAACGACGGTTCGGATAAGAATACGATACTCCCCCGTTTACAAGCGGGCGCACAAATTGGCGTCTACTCAGCGTATGTTTGCACTGAGCACACCGCAGAACATGCACACATGCTCACATGTACAGACCTTAGGAAAAGCTACCGCTGGCTGTGTTGTAAACAAAGACTGTATCTGTTTGCTTTCATAAACGCACGAATGCTTAATATAATATAATACGGTTTACTTAGATACACTCATCAGCATAAACTCATAATCCGCCATTCGCTTTTTTTTCGCTACTTTCTCGCATGCGAGAAATATTCCTGACTACGTATTTATTATCCTATTTTATATTTAAACCGCCAACGTTAGCGTCCGTGACTGCAGCGTAGCGAAACTTGTGACTTTTCGTTTCCTTTGTAAAGTCAGTTACTTTTTCCGCAGCTATTTTTCGTTCATACGCTTTTTGTTTGTTTCCTAAGCATTTAAGTTAAGCACACACATGTGCACATACTTTCTTCACTTTTGGTTATTTCGTATCATCTTCTACAAATCAACGAGCTTGACACAACGTTGTGGCCATTGACATCTGTTCGTCTTGATTGCAGGTCTGTCTAGTGCGGTGGCTAAATGCTTGGTTGTCTAACCGACTGACAGCATGACTACTGGAATTTCAGCACACCGTGTGCATGTGCGTGTGTTGTGCCGCCAGGGGTGAAATGTCGTTAGCTGGCATGTCAGCACATTGCGTCCGGTGACGTGCAACAGCACAAATACAATAACACTTACATATGGAAATATGTTAACAAGTGTATGTATGTATATATATCGAGCGCGTTCACAGCAGCGTAAGCGTGTTTAAAGTTCGTGAGCGCGAAGCTCCTTAATCTATGAATGTATGTATGCGTGTTACATATGTATATGTGATAAAGTTGATTTCAATTGCATTATAATCCATTTAACTGGATTTACTTTGCTGGGATTTGCTGTTTAACCTGCATTAAAGGCAAACAGATATTTAACGAGCAAAAGTCAGTAAGTGTACATTTAAATAGTACAGTACGATTACAGTAAATACATTGGAGTAAACTAAAGCGAAGTTTCACCCAAATATACATATTGATATATGGAACTGCAAAACTCCGGTTATTGTTGTATTAATGTTAAAATATTATCAATACATTATTAATAACGCCTACACATTATTTTGTTTAATTTCATTGAATTTAATTTTAATAAAATCCAATCATAATACTTTAGCAAATTAGTACTTTTAGTCCCGTTGGTTTTACAATGGGCCTCCGAAAGATTCAGGTGCGTGCTTTCACTCTTTGCTCTTTGAGAACAAAAGTATCTTCAATGGGAATTTTATTTTCTTCAAACCCCTGAATATATTGTATTTGTTAAAAGATTCTATAAAGTCTTCAGCTTTGATCTTGAGTGCCGGACAATTTTCTTCCACTTCAGCTTAATCGCCATTATAACAAATTTCGTTTAATGTAATTTAAACGGGAAAAGCCCTGCTTAGCTATTGATCAAAGTTATAATTTGTAAGCGACGCTTTCGGTTTCAACTGTTAAAGCATGAACACAAAGAGCTTATTTTCATTAATTACATTAGCTCGTAAAAGGTTTCGTGCTCATCATCCCACTCAGCGTTTGAGTTCATTAAAGCAACGGTAACTTTTTTTTATGAAACGCAAAATTTACTTAGTAGTAAATGTAATATCAAGGTGATCTTTTTATAATAAAATGAAACAATAAATTATCCGTTCCAATTTAGCTCTTTTTCGCATTATAGGTTAAGCTATAGATAAATATATAATATATGGGCTAAAACATCTTGAGCCTTTGGTGAAAACACGGCACAAACAAAATATCTCTCGCTGTGTCTTAGAACACATCAACTTATAATAGAAATCAAGTCATGGAAACAACATCAATTTATAATAGAAATTAAAAGTTCGTGACATTTAATTCAATTGTTCTAAAGTTACTGGTCTCAAAGTGGCGCTACAAATGAGTTAGTTAACATCATTCCTATCTGCATAAAACACTTAGGTTATTGATTACACAATACTTTTCAGCCCATGTGCAGAAAAAAATTTACAATAAATTTATATATAAGTATATATACATATGTATATATGGTATATACAAATTATTTTAAACGGCAAGCGTATTGTACAAAGTATACACTGAAGTGGTCTACATATATTTATATTCTTGTATTCATTGAAAGAGATTTATTGGGAAATTGTTTATATCACAATGCAACTATATACTTTTATTCGTCAAAGTAGTCCGGAACGTTCGTTATTCTCCATACTCCAAATATCGTAATTTCAAACGGTCTTACATAGACAACTCGGATAATAAATGAGATATCTCAATTGAGCTAAGTTAATTTTTTATGTCCGTTTGTACTTGTATATACGTTAACTAGTAATCTGAAATTTTGCTGACGCCCTTTTGTCTGCAAGAAGCTGCTTATTTATACGAACCGTCGATATCAGACGACTATAGCATATACGAGCTGCAATACAAACTGAACGGTAAAAATCAAGTCCTTGTATGGAAAACTTTTGTATTTGACTAGATATCTTCTTGAATTTGGCATTCATTATTGTTCAAAGCAACGCTACTATCTCCGAACAAATTGTTTCATTTACTTCTGAAGGGTATTATAGCATCGGTGCAACCGAAGTTAACCTCGTTTTTCCTTGTTTTTGTTAATAATAATTTCAATTAAAAGTAGCCTCCGTCAAAGCCATAATTTAAGCTTTTGCTATGAGATAAAACCAGGTTAAGACCATAATTCAAGTTTTGTTTCAATATAAATAGTTTCTGTCTTATCTCGTTTTTTCTTCTCCTGAAAACTTGTGAAATGTGATGTTACCTTAATTTGCATTTATGTAATGATACATACTTGTATATATTTATTTGCGCATTATGCAAATGGCTGAAAATACATACATATAGGTACATATCTTTTCATCCTTATTCTTATCAATTGTATACAACCATATGCCCAAGTTCAGGCACTCATTGATAAATTTTCGCATATATGTACATACATATGGAATAAACATAGTTCGTGCATAAATCTTTTTAATATACAACGTCGAACATGAAAAATATTCCAGACCATTACTGCTTATAAAACGCCAACTTAGTTCACTGTTGGATCAATATATGTCCAAAAGTGCACAGCATGGCGTCTTGAAGCTCTTGCAATGCAATATATTGTAGAGAATTGCCAATTCAGGTATTTTTGCAGTATACTTTTACTATATTTATTAGTACATAGAACTATAGCACAGCTGCAATTCGACCAAGGTAGCGGATAAGTTTCCACAGTGCGACCAACGGCATGGCACGGAAATAAATGCGCAAATCTAGCGGCAGATAAAGTACTTAAAGAGTGGTGGAATGTGCAACGAAGGGAGGCACTCATGCACATATGTATATTCACACCAGTGAATGCAAGATTTGTTATTTCAATGCTCGTTTGTGATGAAATATAACAAGCAGTTCAAAAGGGCGCCAATAGTTCAGTATGCGTGAACTCGTCCTACAAAATGCCACTTATCAGTGCAGCAATGAAACCGTAGCAAGAGCAACAACAGTTGCCTGCATGCTTCAAGGCGCATACAAAATCGCAAGGACTGTGCGTATTTTGTTTCTGACTTTGTAGTCGAAAGCGTGCTATTTAAAGTGAGATATCACAGATTATTCATAGAATTTTTCAGATTTAATGCCAACTGCAAATAATGTACAACCACCACACCATTTATGTCAATGAATTTATAATCGAGCATTTACAATATTTCAACTATACAATAAACATTATATACATACTTGTATATGCATATACATATAATACAATGTGTTAACATATATTTGAAGGAATGTTTGTGTCAATAACTGTACAATTGTACATTTCCGTATACTATATTAACAGACAATCGTTAAAATATACAGTGTACAGAATAAGTGAAGGTACAGTTGGTTAATTCCACTATTTTTGATAATAGTGCGATTCACCTATAAATGGGATTACGAAATCTGTTATGAAGAAACTAAAGGTATCAAGTGGCGCCAACGCAGCCATTGCCACATATCCGAAACCTACAATTATTTAAATTACTAGCTGCCAGCGTAAGACAGATCTAACATTTTATTCCAGCTTATATATAGAAAAATTAAATTTTTTTCTAAAGGGTGGAAAGCAACGACTATGTCTCTTTCACAAATTTCTGAATCGTTTTGGCCGGTTTTAAGGCCTAAAAATTTGCCTAAAAAACAGCCAGAGCTCCTACAATTGTGGAGAGAGGTCTTCTAGAGATCTGCTAAGCCGCACAAGTGCTGATAATAGTCCAGCGCTTACAGAGCTCTAGCTAAAACGTTACAGAATAATCAACTCTTTAGGACTGACGGACAAGTTTTCAAAGCCCTACAACCAAAATTTAAAATTTAAAATTTTAAGCTTAACGAACAGAGAGAACGGCTTTCAAAATATATATTTGTGGACGTATTTATAATGTGTTGGAGATCACGTAAAGTTCGTTTTCTTTACTGAACATTAATGTTTAGTTTTCTATTTGTGCGACTATTTCACTTTATACATGTTTTTCAATAAGTTTTTTATTTCTTTTCGAAATTTTCATTCAAAACAAATATTTTTTCTAACTCTATAGTATATTTTATATATTTTTCATTATTAAAACCGATGTTTATTAGATTTTAATACAATCGCTACAATTTTATTCAAATGAGTTTCACACATCAGCGTTGCCAATGGTTATGTCATTAAACGTATAAAAATTGTTCTATACTCAATGATACGATAGCGAAAAT